AGAGGTCATCTTACTATTTAGCTTTTGTCCCCTTTTCTAGTAACTTATTTCTTTTCTTCACTGATCGCTGAACCCCAAATACACAGGGTAAAGATCAGGATCTATAATGGAATACTGGTTACTTGATAATTTTGTGCTTTGGAATGATCTCTCCCAAAGTCCCCTTAATCCTTTATGCTCTTCCATGATAACCTCTTTTGGTCCAGAACAGGGGTGCTCAACCTCCAGCCCATGGGCCAAATGAAGCCCATGGAGCCGTGGTATCTGACCTGTGGGGCTCCCAATGCATCAGGAGATTTGGCGGCAGGGTTGTGATGGCAGTTAATATGGCCACCTTCCCCTACTCTCAAATTCCCAAACTCCAAGCCCAGTGCAGCTGGACTGGGGCCAGGCCATGCCACCACCCCCAACAAGGGCTGAATTGGGTCCAAGCCACACACCCCCTACAGATGACTGCATGGGGTCCCACCATGACTGCCCCCATGCTGAAGCAGGGCCACCAGTGGGATCCAGCTGTGGATTAGGCCATGCACTGCCCAACTGGCCCACCAGCCAAAAAGATTAAGCACCACTAATCTAAATGAATAAAGTATGAAGTAATGTATTGAATAGGTAGGTATTTAAGGTATATTCCCTCTGCAGGTAAAGGGAGAAATGCTAAGGAAAACTATTGATTTATGTATCTTTATTTTTTTATATATATATATCTGTGTGTGTGTGTGTATGTATATATAAAATCATATTGACTTAAAATAAAGAAATATAAGTCAACAATTTTCCCTAGCAATGCTAAGCAGTATGTCTGTGCTCCCTTTACCTGTACTAAGCAATGTAACTTACTGATATATAGGCTAGAAATAGAGATGCCTGATGAAGCTGATGTGCCTCGCTGAGCAAAATGCATATCACCAATTTTCTTCCATCATCAACAGGAGAGGGCTGATTCGGCACACTACAGGAATTCCTGTGCAGGATTAGGCTGCCCCAAGCCCTGGGAGCTCCTACCCAGCTTACCAAGATGTGCCCCTGAAATCTCCAGGGCCCATCTGGGTAAGCAGGGGAAGTTGGAGTATCTGCTTCCTGAGATGCCTGCACTCTCACACCATAAAGTAAACAGACCTCTGCCACTAAATGGCGGCACAAGCTGATACCACCTTTGTCACAGCCACTCTTTGCAGTGCAACAAGGAGTAAGGATGTCTGTTTGCTTGGTCTTTGTGCTACCAAAAAATCTTCATAGCAGCACTAAGGCGATAAAAGGTGACGTCTATTTTCCCCCCTCTCCCCTCCCCGCCCCATGCTGGCTGTAGCCCCAAGGGAACCACAGGGCAAGCAGTGGTAAAAAAAATACAACTCAGGGTCACACTTAGTGATTATAAGATGCCTTATGCCAGAGAAGTTTCTTTTAGAGATACTGTTAAGAATGTGGTGTGTATTTTTCACTGAACTTCTCCACATTTGTTAAAATAGTGGGTGTTCTTAATATTCAGTTACCATTAATGTTCTATTGCCATCAGGACAGTAAAGTCCTCATCTAGATTTACTCGTGCACATTACTCTTCTTTGTTACTGTTCCACACATTTTGTATGAATTGTATTTATATCATCCCACTACTTATTTTCTTCGCTACTGATTGAAGGGAGGTGTTTAGCTGTGTTAGTATGAAGTCAGGTAGAAGTTAGGGTATGGTAGTACCTATATTGAAACCATACTCAATACAATCCAATCTGTGGATATTTCTTGTTCTGGAATTTCACATTCAGATTGTTTTTTTTAAGTTTTTCATAGATTTCATAGACATTCAGGCTGGAAGCAACCCGAGAGGATCATCAAGTCCAGCTCCCCGCCCAGGGGCAGGAAGTCAGCAGGGATCATAGGAGCTCAGCAAAATAAACATCCAATAATGTCTTGAAGGTGTTCAAAGTGGGTGCTTGAACCACCTCCAGCGGCAGTCTACTCCAAACCTTGGGGGCTCAGACAGTAAAGAAGTTCTTCCTTATGTCCAGCCTGAAACGGTCGCAGAGGAGTTTGTGACTGTTCGACATTGTCATCCCTTGGGGCACTCTGGTGAACACGTTCCCCCAGATCCTGGTGAACACCCCTAATAAACTTATAGGTGGCCACCAGATCGCCTCTGAGCCTGCGCTTTTCCAGGCTGAAGAGTCCCATGGCTCAGCCTCTCGTCATAAGGTCATAGATTCATAGATGTAGGTTCGGAAGGGACCTTGTAGATCTTCTAGTCCAACCCCCTGCCCTGGGCAGGAGAGAAAACTGGGCTCAAATGACCCCATCTAGGTAAATGTCAAGTCTCCTCTTAAAGATCCCTAAGGTAGGAGCCAGCACCACTTCCCTTGGAAGTTGATTCCAGATCCTAGCCACCCTGACTGTGAAGTAGTGCCTTCTAATGTCTAGTCTAAACCTACTCTCTAATAACTTATGGCCATTATTCCTTGTTACTCTGGGAGGCGCTTGGGGGAGCAAGGTCTCTCCCAATCCCCGCTGGTCCCCCCTAGTAAGTTTATAGACGGCCACCAGGTCCCCCCCTCGGCCTTCTCTTGCGAAGGCTGAACAGGTTCAGGTCCCGTAGCCTCTCCTCATAGGGTTTGCCCTGCTGTCCCCAGATCATGCAAGTGGCCCTCCTTTGGACACTCTCAATGCTGTCCACATTGCTCCTGAAGTGCGGCACCCAGAATGGGACTCAGTACTCTAGCTGCGGCCTGACCAGTGTCGCATAGAAGGGGAGGATCACCTCCTTGGCCCTGCTTGTGATGTATCTGTGGATGCACAGCAAAGTACGGTTAGCCCTACTGACTGTGTCCTCGCATTGTCGGCTCTTGTTCATCTTGGAGTCAATAATGACTCCAAGATCTCTTTCTGCCACCGTGCTTTCGAGAAGGGAGTTCCCCAGCCTATAGATATGCTACTGGTTCCTATTGCCTAAGTGCAGCACCCTGCACTTGTCAGTATTGAATCCCATCCTATTTTCATTTGCCCACCCCTGTAACCTGTCCAGGTCCCACTGTAATCTGTTCTTCCCTTCTAGCATGCCCACCTCACCCCAAATCTTGGTGTCGTCTGCGAATTTAAACAGGGTGCTGTTATCCTGACCTCTGATCTTGTGCATGGCTCTCCTCTGCACTCTCTCAAGCTTCTTCGCATCCTTTTTGAATTGTGGAGCCCAAAACTGGAAGCAGTACTCCAGCTGCGGCCTCACCAAGACTGAGTACAACGGGAGAATGCCGTCCCAGGATTTGCTTGAAAAGCATCTACGGATGCAAGCCAGCATTTTGCTCACTTTACTAGCCACAGCATCACATTGAAGGCTCATGTTTATCTTGTGGTCAATCATGACCCTCAAGTCCCTTTCATCTGTAGTGCTAACCACTGTAGTACTGCCGAGCTTATAAGCATGCTGCAGGTTTTTCCTCCCAAGGTGGAGAACCTTGCATTTTTCAGTGTTAAACACCATCAGGTTCTCATCCGCCCATTTCATGAGCCTGTCATGATCTGCCTGGATCACCCTCCTGTCCTCAGGTGTGGATGCTTTACCCCAGAGTTTGGTGTCATCAGCGAACTTGGCCAGCCCGCTTCTGACATCAATGTGTACATCATTGATGAAGATGTTAAAAAGTAAGGGCCCTAGGACAGAGCCCTGAGGGACCCCACTGGTCACAGGGCACCACAACGATTGACTTCCGTCAACCACCACCCTCTGGGTCCTGCCGCGGAGCCAGTTCCCCAGCCAGCAGATCGTGGTGAGGTCAAGGCCACAGTTAGCTGTTTTATGAAAGAACAGCTACCCTAAGATCAGTGATGGAACTTCCAGGAATGTTAAAGTGTTCTTCAGCAGGCTTTTGTATCCCCCTGGAACTGATGTCAAACTGGTGTCCATCTTTCATATGGGGATTGCCCCATCTGTACAGTGTAGACAGCATAGGGGCATGATAAACAGATGATAGCATATATGATGTCAATAGAGGAGTAGGTAAATGACCCATATGTTATAATCCGCATTGTTTGGTCCAGTGACTAATAAATAATAGAGATGCACCGATATATCGGTCCGATATTAAAGACTGAAATTTGGGATGGCTGCAACCCTCATCGTCCCCCGCGTAGCTTCCCTGCTAGCACCGCCGCCACTGCCTGCCCTGAGTGCAGCATGCCCCAGCCCCGCTCACCCCACTGAGAAGAGCCCGTCGCGGCCTCAGCCCACAGTTGCAGTGCGCCCTGCCCCGCCCCTCACAGATTTGGGGACACATGCCTCCCCCCATGCCCTCTTGGGGTGCGCACAGTGGCAGGAACTGCTCTCCCTCCCCACACCCCCCAGATGAGCCGTGGCTCTGTCCCCCACTCCGCCCCAGCTCTGCAGCGCCTACTCTGGCCCCACTCCTTCCCTCACTGCAGGGGCATTGATCTGCTCCCCCATGCCTCTTGCCTCCTCCCTCCCCTTCCACCACAACAGACTTACCAACTGGATGCATCTGTATCAGAAATCAGATCGGTATCGGCCAATATGCCTCCTTAAAAATCAGCTATTGGTATTGGCCCCCAAAATCTCTATCGGTGCACCACTAGTAAATAATAATCTGTTCAGAATAACTTTTATAGAGATTCTATCCAGAGATATTATTTTTTTACTAAAAGGTTTGATTTGCTATTAAGTAGGTTCTGCTTTTAAAAGCTGATGAATATTGTAGAAAGTATGCTTATTAGCAGCTGAATGATAATTTCTCTCTAATGTGACAGTTTTAGTAATTTTCATGTAGAATAATTTATGAATCATCAATAGGACAGAAATCTAGTAGAGGTATTAACTAACTTGTCACCTTCATGGAAGTGACTCGTGTCCTGCATTTGTATGTGTTTTTCTTTCTTCTCCCACTCCTCCAGACTTTTCAGCACAGAAATTAAAAGTGTTCATTGATTCTATACCATCCCTCTGGCTTCAGATGTTTGTTGCAGAAGCAGTCTTCAAAAAATTTTGTTTACAGAGGAACATTATTATTTCTACTGAACCACTTTCTCTTCAGAAAATAGTAAGTAACACATTTGTATTTCTTGATAGCCTAATACATTTTAAAATGTTATGACAGACTTATGAGAAACTTAATCTTTCTTTTTATTTGCCTGCTCCTTCTCTTTTCACTGTGACAGGACATGTTCATTGCCTATGTGGCATTCTGTCCCTAGAGAATCTAAAGAATTTAAATGCAGAATGATATTAGGATGGGCTTTATCTTGCCACAAATTTGAGAGGATAGTTCAGAAATGGACAGGACTTTCTTACGAATTTGCAATAACTTTACTGTAGCAGCTAACATAAGAAGGTATAGTGGGAAAGGAGTAGGCACCAATAACTATAAAGATGCAATAGTATATTTAAAATTTAATAAAAATGGCCTGTTGTGTATGATTTAAAAATCAACAAGGTATAAAAGATAAGGTATGTTCTTCCTTTTAAAGTCCTGTAGCATTATACTGAGACACTAGTTAGATGTTTGATTTCAAGCAGCAGTTTTTTCTCTTGTTTTAATGTTCCATCTCATCCTACTTAGTTAAAAGTGTTGCTTGGCATCACAGTCACTAGAAGTTAGATAGGGAACGCATTTACTCAGGTTGTCTCTCACAAACCTTGAAAGGATCTGGTCAGAATATGAAAAGGGAAAGCACAGCAGAGCAGAGTTCAGCTGATGTGATCCTTCAGTGGTATCCCAAATCCCAATCATGGACAACCCTGAATATGAAAGCCACAACAAACTGTGTATTTAGTATAGAAAAGGATAGGATTTTTTAATTTATTTTACTTTTCAGCATAAGTATGCTTTAGGCAGAGCATTAGGAAGATATTCTCATATGTCTAAAAATGAATCAAGAAAACTGAAGGTATTTTTGATGTAAGTAATCGTCAACACAGAACCAAAAACTTCAACCTTGTCAGCATTGTTAATGAACCTTTACCTGACAGTAATTGCAGTCAATTATTATATGAAAAGTTTTTTTAGTGAATAAAGCAAATTCTCATTCCTTTTGCAGTTTTCCTAAGGTCACAAGTCATTTTTTTCCTATCCCCACAGCAGTATTAAATCTGTGGCATAGTTTGGCCACCAATACTCATGTAGTGTCTTCCTAGGCAATTAACTCCACACATTGGGACTGAAAGGCCACCTCATAGATGATTGTACAGTGAGGGAGGAGAGAGTAAGGAGGAATCTTTTCCCGTTGTGTAGGAAGGAGCCAGTAATTTCAACATCTATAATATCCCATTAGAAGCTACGTCTCCATTCCCCACCTGCTCTTTAGGTGATGTCTTTTTTTCTATTGTGTTTGAAATCCTGGTTTATCAGGGAGTTAGACCCCACTATTGAATTATTATCTTTACTGGAAAACCACTAGATTTCAATAAAAAAAAGATGTTACAAATAACCCACACATTGACTCTAGACTGCTGGGAAGAGAGTTTATAAAAAAAAAAAAGATAAACTAGCACCACCTGGCCTAACTGGCAATAAGGAAAAAAATCCTTCTCTAGTCCTAGGAGGTGATTAAGCATGATGTCTACAGTCAGGCCCAAAAGACACAGCTCTATGCTGATCCAAGAGGGTAGTCTTTCTTCTCATAAAGAGTTGCCCCCATTCCTGTGGCATAGTCTAAGAAAGGCTTATATGTAAAGCTGCCCATTAATCTTGGGATCCAATAGGCTTTAGAGAGAGACAAAGTCATCCTCAAAGGGGACATTTTGTAGTAGTTATAAGATTCTTTTTTTCCATATTGATACATTACTTGGTGTCTGTGTACACCAATCACTTCAGTAGTATTTTTAAACTCTTTATTAGTATGTTCAGGTGTTCTTTTATTAAATACAACAAAAGGAAAATGAATAGAAATTTCTAATTACCAAATAAAGTCATGAAAAATTAAAGAAGAAACATTACTCTTGCAACAGGTTCGTTCCTATTTACCTGCTTTAAGGGAGCTAGGTATGCATGAGACAGTGAAAATGCAGAATGTGAAGAAACAGAAAATAGGGCAATGGCCGTGCCCTCAGTCTCAAAGGGCATTACTGATGCTAAATGGTGATAAGCAGAACCAAGTCGAAGGGCTGCCTGATCTACCGTAAGTAATACCTATAACATCACCAGTTGTATTCTGCTTTGGGGGACAGCTGCTGACCTGACACATTTCTTGAACTTTATGTGACCTGTTTTGTTGTCTGCAAATTATTGTGACTGGCAGAAAACTCCATTTTAAACCTGAAACACATCTGGACTGCATTTTTTCCTTCCCTCAGTATAGATACATATTGGAGCCCATTTATTTCTCCAACAATAACATAAAATGCTTTCTTAAAGAAACTATTCAAAAGATTACCTTTAAAAAATCTCTGCATATCAAGTATGTATTTTAACAACTATTGATAATATAATTAAGATTAAATTCCAGAAAGTCTCTACAACACTAACACATATTATGGCTTATTTTCGTGCTCTATTTACCAGTAGGTATATCTTCATCTTTTCTAAAAAAAAATTAAGCACATCTAACAAAATACACTTATTATTGCTTGCTTTCCTTTAAGTGAAATAATCTGTAGTAAGAACCCTTCATTGTCAGAGACGTTAAGAGTGACAGCAGAAGTTGAAGCATTACACACCAAAGAGAATCATCAGTCTATGGTTAAAGACATGCGTCTTTACAAGACTAATATTAAAGGTATTTTATGTTTGCAATTATACTAAGAACTTTACATGGCTACAATCAGTACTTTCAGGTTTAACACGTGTCCTGCTGACTGCTGAGCTAAAATGATGGTTGATGTCCAAGAACTACTTCCTCGTGTTTCATATGTGTTGTTTTCAATGCTCATTTGAGAGAAATAATTTTATTCATGGTAGAATAAAGCTGCTTTCTCTACATACTCCCCTCCCCCAAATATTAAAATACAGTGTACAGCTTGTGAGCTCATTCCAGTCTTGCCCGCCTTACTTTACTAATCCACCTCAACCTGTGCTTGGTAGGATCAACGTTGTCTTCTGATTTGAAAGTATAATTCAGTCGTCATCTCTTTCAGTCCTAGACATTTTGTGAACAAAGACTGAGGAGTATGCTATGTTACATAGCTGTGTTAAGCATATGGACTGTTTTCTTCCAGGCATTGAGCCCAGACTATGAAAGGCATTTGGCTTTTAGTCTTAACTATACTGGAACCCAAGCACCTAAGAATGAATAGCACTGCAGTAATTCACTCAGGCCCCACTTACTACACAAATTCAATAAAATGCATTCTCTCCGGCTAGTATCGCTTGCTGGAACTCCCATTTTTATTATTTGAACCTTACCTATAGTATTTTTAGTCCAAATATATTTATCATAATGACACCCAAGGGAGAACTGAGGTAAAATTGGCAACAGAAACCCCTCATCTTTCAAAGGATTACGTTCAGAGTTGTGAGAGAAACACTGGAGGATAAAGACCTCAGTCATTTCAGAGATTTAAAAAGAGAGCTTCAACAAGAGAGCTAGGCCACGCACTTCAAAAATTGGTGCCTTTTTTCTTCACTGCTTCTTCAAGTAAAGTTAATGAGCAAAATTAATGTGAATGATTGCTTTCTTTTTTGTTTTAAACAAGGGAAGCAAACTAAAAAGAGTAGGACCAAAAACAGGATCAAACTCTTCATCTCCCTGCTAACATCCTGAGCACTGTTTCTGTTGAAAGAAATTAGTATGGCACTTAGATTTTCATAGGGACTGTGTCAGTGGAATCAAAATTAATCTAAAAGCACCAGCAGCAGAGAAGTAGTCTGATGTAGACATTTCATCACTAAATTGTCTGATGCTGCATCATCTTTCACCTGGCTTCAAGATTTTGCTCTGGCTCTTGTTCAGGCAATCACTTAGTGAAACCAAAATAGTGTATTGCATGTCTGAAGTTTTGAATCACACCGTTTCCTTACCTTCAAGCAGCAGCTCTAAGTCTCTTGCTGTTCAGTTTTCCACACTCTTGTCAGCTGTAAATGGTATGAGGGTTTATTATCATTATTATTAATATTATTATTAAAACTCCTTCATTTATTCATCTCTCTCTCTTTCTTTCCACTACTGTAGCCAAGTCAGACAGCCTATTGAGAGACAGCAAACCATCTGTTAGCAGATTTGAAGTTCTGAATTATACTTGACTATGTAAAGGCACTCGTGCTTAGCCAGAAACATTCATTTGAATTAAGCTATAAATGCTGTGTAAAAAGAACCATACATTTCAACATAGGTTCATGAATAAATTTAAGGGAGGGCAACTACACTCTAAACTTTTATTGCTTCAAAACCCAGTATTTTTGGTGTTCTGTGATCATTCAGTGCTTTTATAGTGTGATTGAAGCTTTAAACCTTGAACTGGGGGGAGATAATTCTTGTGTTAAACCTTTTGCAGTACAATTTCATTGCTGGATCTGTGATGGAACAGAAGCTCTGTGGGTTTTTTTTGAATTTTTCTTAAGAGATGGTTAAACAGGACAAAGGAAAATCTTACTCATTATTGAATTTTCTGGCGCATAGCCAGATTTCCTAGTTCTGTGCACTTTGATTATTTTCTTTAGTAGCTATCTTGCCTAGTCTAGTACAATCTATTAATTTTTTGTGGTAGGAGAGACAGCCCTGCATATAGCTTGCATAAGAAACAAAGTGGAGAAATTGATTCAGCTCCTCTCTATCCCTGGAGTAGACATTAATGTTAAAGGTAAGTTATTTTCTGTACTCAACCAAAATATTGAGACTAATAAATAATTTTTGTAATTTTAATTTGAAATGCAAAACTTCACATTTTAGACAGGATTTTAAAAAAAAATCATAATTGCTTTTAATAATATGGAGTCAGGACTTAAAGCAAAGATTTTATGAACTGATATCCTAAATTTTGTAGGAAGATGCATCATAATTTACTAACCATATCTTCTGTCAATAACTAAAAATGCAGTTTAAAAAAAAGCTAATACTGGTTCAGTAATTTTTACTTTTAATATCAATTGCAGTTTTAGTATAAATAAGGAATACTGTTTCTTTTAAACAGCCCAGCTTTCTTTAAAAAATATAATGGTAATATTATGAGCTTTTACTGTAATTTTTGCTTTTTAAAAACTTCCCTTGATTTATAATTCAGACTATGCTGGCTGGACGCCTTTGCATGAAGCCTGTAACCATGGCAGCACAGTGTGTGTCCGTGAAATTTTGCAACGTTGTCCGGAGGTAGACCTGCTCAGTCAAGTGGACGGGGTGACTCCTTTGCATGATGCACTGTCAAACGGACATGTAGAAATTGGCAAGATGCTACTTCAGCATGGGGGTGAGTGCATTTATGCTAAACTGGTTTAGAGAAATTATCCAGTGTTAGATGAGTCCATGTGAAGTCCATAGCTTTCTTCTTAGGAGATGGTGAAATGCAGTGATTGTTTAAAATAAAATAAATTTTGAAAGCGAACTGTTTTGAATGCTAGAGAGAGAAATATTACCCTTTTCTCACTTATTCAGATTGTCATCAAAACAAATATGTAATTAACATCAAATATCCATGACCTGTTATTCCTATATTTAAACATTAAACATACATGTGGTTTGTTTAAAATGTTGTACACTCTGATGACAAGATTCAAATACAGTTCTTCAACTCACTGGTGAATGAACAAAAATTATCTAGCTACTAAGTAATTTTACAGATTTTTTTTGTTTTGATCTATATTGTAACATTATAGACAGAGAGAGATTTACATGTCCAGATTTCTACATGATATATATTTCAATGAAAAATTATTCGGCATCTCTAAAAAACTGTGACTATCCTCAAAGAAAAATTTGCTAGGAAATTAGTTAAAGAAAAGACCATTTTGTAATTGTGATAGCTGCTGTTTGGGAGGGATAATGGTGATTTGGCATACCGTAGCTTTACAATCAGTCATTGCTGCTTATACACTTTACTAATCATACTTTTCACAGTTTTTTTCCAGTGACAGGAAGCTTAAATCTTATTTTGATAAAAATTCTACAAATTAAATTAACCAACCATGTTTATGAGCTAACTAAATACAAATAACTCTCTTAAAAGAGACAGTTGATATCTAATTCATCTCCTAAAACAAAGATTTATGTTCCTTATCTTGTTCATACCTACTGTATGTATCAAACTAATTTCTGCCCAGTAAATGTATCCAGACCTTTGTGAAAGAAATCATTCTGCATATAATGCAATGGAATGCACTGTATTTAGGTGGCTTATAACTCAATTAAGCTGGGAGAGACACAATTATATTTGTTTTTTGGCAGAGACTTCTGTATTTACAGTCTTCTCCTGCCCCCTAAAGGCTACTTATGTTGGTTTTACAGACACCATCTCATAATCAATACATTCCTCTGCTATTCTACCTCTGCATGTTTGCTGAGCATCAGTGCTGTGTCTCCCAGGTGTTTTATTTATCTACTGAACCATGTATCTGACATGCCAAGCCAATACCTGGCCTCACTTCAATCGGTCTAAGTGATGCAAGAGCCAATATTATAGTAAGCCCAGCTCTTCAATAGAGAATGGCATTGCACTGACAGATGTGCATTTTTCCTGCGCCTTGTGAAGAATAGGCAGTGGATGATCCTGTTGTCCTAGGGGAGGAGATCTACTTGCACTTGCATTCATCAAGGTCTTCTGGCAACTGTAGAGGCTGAATGCAGCCTTATCTTTGCCTTTGTCACATTCTGGGTTTTGGCCTGTCAAGTAGTTTGACACCAGCATGGTGGAGACAGCATTATACATTCATTGTAAATTCACTCAGGTTCGATAACTGTAATTTGGAGTATTTCTGAAGTAGCTTTTTTAAATTCTTTTCCCCAAAAAACTTGCAAAAGTTATGTAAATATCTTGCATAATTATTGGTGTTAGAATAAAACATTGTTATACACGCTATTAGAGTTAAAGCGGCATAAGAAAGTCAGAATGTACTATGTACATATGTAGGGCTATGTATATAGTACAGTTATCTTTTGCTGCATTTAAAATATAATTTTTTTAATAGGAGGCTGGCAAAGAGAAGTTACATGAAAGCAACTGTGCCTTTTTATAACACCACAGATTTGCAGCTTAAAAGTGCTTAAGTGTTCACTCTTGAAGATGCCACCTGTTATGCATTAGCCTAACTCATTTTTCTTTCTTACAAATTTAACTTAGTAAATTTGTAAACTGTTACAAAGCGGGCAGTTCTGTTCTAGTAATAAATTTGGGGGTTATTGAAAAAAAGAATCTAGCATAGTGTAGACATTTTGCCCATTTATTTAAAACATAGTTTATTAAAGTATCTAACATCTGCATTACAAAAATTGCTAAAAACAACTATTGTACCTAAGTGATTAGTAGTTAAGAGGAACCTGGATTATTTGGAACAAGTTACTTGATCTGTCTGTGTGTTAACCTAACCAGTAATATAATAAGCCAAAATCACCACCACACTGGAATTAAATGTTGTGTTTGGGCATATCTTCAGCAGGTGTACATAACTGATGCTAAGAATTTTTAATGAATTTTGACCTTAGCAACACTTTAATAAAATAAATGTCATTTTTATGTGTGCTGTATGTTGTCACTAAGTTTTGGGAGATAATACTTAAACAGATGGTTGCTTTTTTCCCAGAGATTGTTATGCTTTTTAAATAGTAAAATAAGCGGATAAAGAAAGGCACAACTAATAAGACAACTGACTAGAAGTTTCCCTCTAACATGTCTCAGCTGTGCAGTCAACATGTAACCAAGGTGTCAGTATAACTTAGTACAAAAACAGGTTATAAACAGACCCCTAGCTGCTGGCTTGAAAGTACTGTTACCGTTAACCGTTTGTATTTTTTCCTGCAGGACCCAAGCTCCTACAGCAGAAGGACTCTTCTGGAAAATTCCCGCTGGATTATGTGGAATCCATACCAGTAAAACAAGAACTTTTGGATATTGTTCGCCCAGAAGAGACCGTTGAGAGTTTCTCTAAACATGTAGAAGATGATTTCCACAGCCAGCAAACAGAACTTTGGTTGATTTTATTTAGTAAGATGTTGCTAAACATTTGCTCTGTTTATAACCTGCCTTCACCATTTACTTTGACTTTTAAAGAACTAGGGTGCTCAAATTCAGTTCCATTAGTGGTTAATGATGGCCAAAAGTTGAAAAATAGCTTTGTTGCTGATTGGTTTGTAGATCTTTTCACTAGAGAGCTAGAAACTTTCCAAAAGCTTCCAAACTTTCTTCATACAATATCTATGGACCTACAACATTTTTCTGGAGAACAAATGGAAGCCTTATTGGCAACACTGGAAACTATGGCAAAAACAACTCGGCCCTCTGCATTCCATCTTTCTAATAACTAAGATTGATTTTTAAATGTTTTCCATTGGTTCAGTGTTTAGTTAGGTTCATTCTTGTGAACACAGGGTGCACATTGCATGTCCTAACACCAGCAAACTTTAGGGGCTGCTTGCCCTTTTAGTGTTATAAAGCTTTGTTAATACTTCCCACTGGCAGAAGCTGCATTCAGGACATTCTGAACCAGTGCATCTTCTGGCCACCATTGCCGTGTGACAAATTCCTTCTGCTCTTTAGCTTGAACCTTATACCTGTGGCTTCCTCAGCAAGGGAGAAATCATTTGCGTTAAGTTAAACCCCTCCTTTTTTACACTCTGTAAATTTTCTGTCACCACGTAGACCATAATCAATACTGGCATCAAAGTCTATTGACCCGTAACTTAATCTGGTAACTTCCAACATATAAGTATAGGCCTGTTTTATGCAACTAATCTTCTGAATATTTGTCAATAAATAAAAAATGTGTGGGGAAAACAACTTTTAATCACAATCTATTTTTCCTATACTATGTAGAAGTGTTTCTCTTCAGGAAAATATATTAAAAATGTAGTGTTTAGATACTTTAAGGTATGATAATTTTTAAATTAAAATCTTAATTTTTTGCTGCTCATATATATTAATTACTAGAAGTTCCCATATTTTCTTAGCAAACTGTTCATGTAGGGATGCCATTGAACTCAGTTAACTTATTTTGCGCCTGCTCATTTGTCTTAGCCTGCAGTATGTTCAGCTTAAAGTCTGGTTCAGATCACCATTTGTGCTAGGACTTTGGTTGTTTAAGCTAGCTGAACAAAGAAGGTTTAATGGTAGTCAAGTCACCTTTCTGCTTCCCAAATTACTACAACTGCTGAAGGCTAGTTCAGCACTGAACACAAGTTACAGGAAGGTTGATAGTGCTCTAACCTATATTAGTTTTCATTTCATTCTTAGATCTACTACACTGGCAGGGTTCACCAAAATACAAAATGCTCTTACTGCACTCTGAGGCGTTCCTTGGGGCCATAGGTGGTGGTAGTGGAGGAGATGTAGATCTGGCTCTGCTAGTAGGGAAGTTCTGGATGGACTACAAAGGGCAGTTGCACAACAGGTTCCTGCCAGTTATTGGCCATCAAGCTCTGGAGTTTTAGCTTAGTGATTCACTAAAGCATGGACATCTTTAAAAAACTACAGCCCCCCCCTTAATGTTATTCTCTTACTACAAACTCATGAAGACTACATCAGATAAATCCTCTAAACTGATACACTAATCATCTCACCTAATTTAGGATGTGAATTTATACACTATTAACTTGGTTACATCTAGTAATCAATTACAGAAAACTGGACAAATCATGACTCATCTTCTACAGGCACAGAAGTATTTTGTGCAAGGAGCTACTATGATTCTGATGCCTAAAAAGAAAGCTTGGAAATTAGAAAGAAGTAGAGATTTTAGGGAGGCTATACTTGTACAGCTACCTGGCAGTAAAGGATATCTTACTACTTTTTCCTTACTTTTTTTTTTTACTGTTCCTCTGCACAGATTAGGGAGTGGAAAACAGTTGCCCTTAAATAAAGAAGAGAAGGAAATACTGCTTTTACAGGGGTATTTAATGATGAAATCTAAACGTGATTTGATAATAGATTAGGAATCACCCCCAGATCTTCAGCTTTTAAAAGGAATTGCAGATTAGCAATTGTTCAATTTTCAGTTCTTCTATAGCAGTAACTTTTGTCTATTAAAAAAAATACAAAGTAAGGTTGTAGATAATAGCACCTACTGGAATTAGTGTTGCTTGACTAGAGGGAATAAGTTACATTGATACAGCTGGCTGATGCACATTAAAACTTCCATTTAGCTTTCACACAGCTAAGATATATGATCTCCTGGCACTTTATCCACTGAAGATGTGCAGGCTGTTTTAGTCTTGGAACCAGATCTTCATTACAAATGTTCAGTGGTTATTAATGACTGATTACGTTTGTTTTAAGACATGTCACAGAACATGCTGCTTAAGTAAGGCTAGAGGGTCTATGCAGGTTGGATGTGTGAGTGCTTCATCAGATACTTAGAGTAACAAAACAACTAGGCAATCAACCAACCTTCATTGCATATGAAATGGCATAGTAACTGTAACCCTCTAGTGTAATGCCTGGTTAGAGAAAAATATGAAAGGAGTCTGATGTTAAACCTTGCAAGAAATGCAAAGCATGCAGTTAAAATGATAATACTTAATTCGATTATTTTTAATCATGAATTTGGGAAATAATCATAGTAGAAAACAAAGGGATAAAATAAAAACAATTTTAAGAATCACTAAGACAGAGATGAAAATTATAATGGCATCCTGTTGACTTGTTAGAGAGAGACAGATGCTATTTAATAAAATCACTCCCTATACTTGTCATTCAGTCAGAGATGTAACTCTCATTTTAAGGTTTACATATTTCTGTCTGTAAGTTACTTTAAATATATCTATCTACTCTGTAGCATCCAAAGAGGTGAAAGAACATTATGGTTCCGTAATCAAGCTCTTAGAATGCCAGAAGTGATATTGCTCATGGAATTTTAATTCATCCATCTTGTGTCTCTGTAGTCCTTAATTGTGTGCTCATACAATTTTTTCCCGCTCCTTTATACGTATGTACTGAATGAGGCTGTTTTGTACAAGACCCCAACAGTGTTTATTGCAACAGGTGGAAAGTGTGAAATGAATGAGATGGGAAACTGCAGGAAGAGAAGGGACAGTCTCATGATTACGACAGTTGAATGCCACCCTGGTAAACTAGATCCTATCTAGGCATCTGTCAGAGTTCCCACATGATTCTAGTCAAGTCATTTAAAGACTAGACGTCTTCAGAGGTGGTGACTAATGTAGTAGGCACTTCTGATCCTAGTCTCGCTGCCTCTCAGTACCTACTCATCTACTAGAAGTGGTATAAGAGTAAGTTTATTAATTGTTAAATCACTTGGGGGGTGGTTAACAGACACCTCGTGAAGAAATAGCTTTGTCTTCAAACCAGGGGTAGAATCATGCACTTTTAATAAGATAGAGGCATACATGCCAGTAGAGAAAATGGAAGAAATTCAATAGCCGCTTATTAAGTGAAGGCTGTCCATTCTTTGTGCTGAATGAGACAGGGCCCTGGAAGGGGAAAAAGAGGATGACAAATAGGTGAACATGCAATTAAAAACTAATTAACACAGCTTTCTCACTTGGGAAGTGGATTAGGGTTTCATGGGCTATCTGTAAGTTCTTGCATTTGCCAACTTGGAAGATTTAAAATATCCATACGGTACGTTCTGCACACAGCTTTCTCAAACTTACATCTGGACCTTCAGTCACTTCCCCTTCCAAACCATGTTTCCTGTTACTATTTTCCTTTCTCTTTCTCTGGGCTATCCCATCTCAGTCCTTCCCTCCCCTTACCATGACTTTTCCAAGCTTTTTAGCAATCCAGTCCCAGCCAGTTCTCTCATCCTATCTCCTTGTCAAATCTGTCTTCCCCTCTCCCATGTATTCTTCCCTTTTACTCTGTTTCTCCCTGTCAGGTTACCCATCCAGTCTCAGTTTTTTCCCAGCTTTGGTCTGTGTCCTCCCCCTCTTCACCCCTTTTCCCTCTATATTCTAAACTTACATTCCTTGTCCAGCTAGTCCCCTCTGTACCCTCATTCCAAAGCTAGGTTCCAGTCTCAGTCATAACCAGGGACGCCCAGCTTTGCTCCTTTAGCACTGAGTCCAAAACAGAAACTTGAGAGGATGAGGTTTGCTCTATGCCTATAAGTAGGGGGACTATGGTGGTGTTAAACCACTTCTGCATCTCCTGATCTCTTGCTCCTCCACTGAATAACTCCTCATGAGTTTGTGATGATGTGCACTGAGCTAACAGCATGTCAGGGTCTGCATGGGTGACCTTAAGAGTTCTTTTTCTCAGTTCCTGTACGGGGGATTTCTTTTCCAGTCTCCTTTATAATGTTTGATGTCTAAAAATAGGGGGGGGAAAGCTTCTGTTTTATCACCTAATGTAATTTATTTTAACTCTACCTTGTGTGTTTTCAGGAGAGCACATCACAAAGCTATACCCAAGATTCTAAATTTAACTTTTAACTAATGCACAGCATACATTTCTCATTAACTTACTAAAATGTAACGTTTTTGTGGCAAAGCACCAACACTTTTAGGTGAAATGTGTAAAACTTGCAGGTATTAATGTGAAATAATAATTGCAACAGATTGAGACCAACTAAGTTGACAAAAGGTTATCTATTTTCCTTCCTGGTATGCAGGAAATTCTTGTGGTACTTGCTTTCATTTTAAAGCAGTTTCTTCCTGCCACACAATAGCTTTTTCTTGGGTTTCTCCACTTGAAAAGTACTTCCTTATAACCTTAGGCCTCTAACTGTTCTCACTGTTTTTCTGGCTAAGTAGAACATGTTCACAGTGCTTTCAAAACATGTTAATACCCCTCTTCTCAGTGGAGAGAGGGGTATTTCTCCCAGGCACTTAGCACACTGTCTGCAGTATTCTCACTCCATGCCAACAGGGGTGAGAATCTTAAGTTTATACACATACTTATACCCAGTGTGACCCTCACTGATGGTTCAGTATTGTTCAATAGTTCAACAGCTCAGTGTGGAAGTACTCCCTGTTGTTGTCAAATGTACACTGATAAGAGCCAGCAATGTCAGGCAAAGATATTGTTTGAACCACTGTGTTGTCAGTAAAAGTTGTTTCAGAACAGAGTTTTGACTTAGTGGTTTCCTAACATGCATTATTTGCCTTTCACATTGCCACATAAATAGAAATAATATATGCTACTGCATTTATACAATTTTTTTTTCCATCTACTGAAGTCCTTCTAAGATATTTTACAGCATGCATTTTGGGTCTATCTTGTTTTCAAACATTCATTCTTTAGTTACTAATCAGCTAATTTAGAACAATTCCAGCTAATTAAGAGTACAGTCTTGTACAGTGTTGCACAAACCTGTTGTGCTGTTTAAATAATATATTTTGTTGGCAATTAACTTTCCGACAATCCCAGTATTATTGAAAGTTTGTGAGTGTTAAGAGCTAGACAGAAGTAATGCTAATTTGGATTAACAGAGGTAGCTTTGTGACTACATTTACAGCTCAGTCCACCAAATGTACAATACTTATGGATGTTTTTATACATGCTCCAGGGCTGGGAGGGGTGCTTTAATTAGAGTGACTTTGAGAGCCACTCTAATTAAAGCACCCGGAATGTCTCGTGTATCAGCGTCCCAGGACTTCTAAATGGTGGCAGAAGCTTTTCAAATAAGTGCCTCCACTGCCATTTTGAAGCATGGGGATGCTGATACACAATATGCAGAGGCTGGCTAGAGCATGGTAATTACCACACTCCAGCCGACTCAATTAATCCAGTCTGCACTGACGCACGTCAGAGCAGCCTCCCAGCTTGTGTACAGGCACCCTATGTTCCTTGAAACTAGTGGTTCTTAAGCTTTCTAAGGT